ATTTTTTTTTTCTCTTCTGTGTACATCTGCCAATGCATCCTCCGGAGCAACAAGATAGGAGAGATGCTCCTCTCCCCACTTCCGTAAATACAATTATAATTATAAGAATCTGGAGCTCGGAGGAGGGAAAGATTCGCACGTTTTCAGACTTCAGAAAAGGTTTAATTTGGAAGAAATCTTTTAAATCCGAACGTGACTACGTTGTTTTACTATGCAGATTAATTAAATAAATAACACTATTCTTTCTGAATATTTACTCTTTCGTTAGGCTCTTCTTTCTGGCGGACAGAGTTATCTAGAAGTAAATGGGATCAAATCTATAAGAAATGTTGAATTTGTCTCTCTAGTTAAGAGATAAAGAATCAGGATATTTCAACTGACGCTTAAATACTTTTAATAAAATGAAGTGTGTAGTTATAACTTCGGTTTTGACTAGATAATTTGCAGTTTCCAGATTCGTCACACTCGCTTCAATTAAAATATTTATTAATCAGTCTTTTTATAAACGAAATTAAAAGACAGTTATGAATATGGTAATTAATATTATAATTTCAACAAAGCTGCATGTAAGGGATAGCATATTTAAAAAATATATATTAAAGATAATTTTAATAGAATCGCTATTTTTTATATTAAAAATATATGCGATATTTATAAGAATATTTTTAANTATATTATTTCTTTAAAATAAATTTTATATTTTAATAATTTTAATAATTATTTATGGCCTACTCGCTCTAACAGACAATATAAAATATGTAAGTGAAGAATCGAACTGTTGCAATTTTAATTAAAATGGCACGTATCCGATGTAGCAGGGCAACATTACTAGATTGCATGTACAGTATTATGACTAATTTGTGTTATTTTGAAACGAATCCGAGGCATAGTTCCGGTCACATGCTCTCGTATCGATTCTCGATAGACGGGGGGATATTTAATGGTGACCCCGTCCTTGCCAAGCCAAATTACTGACTGCTACTCTTCTCGAGGCTGGTACTGCAGTAATTCCGCGCGCGAAATTACCCCCTTTCCTTCAACCGAGTTCCTATTTGCATGCTAACTGGTACAGTCAATAACCCGGACGAGGAGGTGAAGTGCTCCGTACAGAAGAGAACATTGTGCCTGGATTGGTTGCTTCACTGCCGAGCTACATTGCCTTGCGGAGTAGTGTCATTGCGCGAAGTTTCCAGACCACTGGTTCGAGTGGAAAGTACCCAGTTACGCAGAACGACGTAGCGGGTTATTAGAATTGAACAACTACTTCTAACCCAACCGAAAAAAAAAATTCTCGAAAAATAAAATCATCAATACCCGAATGTTATTGAGGTTATGCTATACGGGAAGTAAAGTAGAACATCTTCACCTTTTCGAGATGACTTTAAGGCAACTATCACATTAAAAACTATTTTTATAAATTAAATATAATTAACTTTGATTAATTTACAGAAAATAATTATAAGATATTAAATTAAGATAAAGAAGAACAGAGAATTATTTTTTTTTTAATTTTTATGATGTTATCAAATCTTTATCTATATCTTGACATGTAAATGAAGCGAAAATTGTATGTCCTGTAGAACTAAAAACATTTTGCTTCAATATCGATACGTATATTTATTTGAAATGTTAAAATTTTCAGAAAATTAAAGTTTAACTCTTTACAAATGTCGTCATTCAAAACCAATAGCTAAACATTTCATGGTTATTTAAAAACTTATCTTTTCAAATATTGAAATTATATTAATTAATAACTAAATAATTACTTTTTAAAGGTAACTATATTAATCAAAATTAAAAGTCTTATTTTAAGCAATGTAAATTTTCGATTACATAAAGCTTTATATAAAAAAATTAACTTTTAAATTATTAATCATCTAAAGCAGATATTTAGAAAACCTTTTCATGTGAATCAATTTTAGAAATTCATATAAATGCTTAAGTTATACTTCGAGGTATATGTTATACATATAAAAGTCGATCGTGATAATTATTATATTAATCAATAATTATCGAATTAAAAATATCTCAAAATTAACAAATATTTCGTTAAATCATTTAGAATGTAATTATTTATATATATTGTGGGATTTTATTTTCCATATAGCTCTATGATGTTATTAGATATTCTTGTGTACAAATTTAACTTAAAATTTGTCAGGAAACAGTTTTGATCATTAGTTTTAAATTCTTCAAATTAGAAAAATAATTACACCTTCATTCAAGTTGATATGCGTTTTGTTTTCAGTGTAATAAGTAATTTAAAAGACCGACTTGTAGATAAATATCAATAAAATAAAAGTAATTTCTATTTTTTAAGTATTCAAATGAATGAAACAACATCGTTATTCGTTAAATCAAAGTCATCTTCCGTACGCAAAATCTATTAAGTTGTGCATTCGATTTGCATTTTGCTCATACGATCAAAATTCTTCGTAGTGCCAACATCACTTCACAATTTTAAATTAATAAAAATATTAGAAATTAAATATAAAAAAACGGAAAATTAATTAATTATATTTATTAAAGTCTGGTGATATTTTTTCACGTTTTATAATTTAATACATAAAAGTTAAATTTTAGAAATAAAATAAACGGGCTATTAATAGGCTATAATGCATTCTGTTTTTGATCATTTTGATTTTTTTATATTTTAAACATAAAATTTATTAACAGTTATCAAAAACTAAAGTTAGAAAATATTAATTAATTTTATTTTTGCAAATAAGTGATATAGCAGCATGTAAATATTGGTATTTAGAAAAGTTTACTTTTAATAAGTAGAATAATTTTTGGCAACTAATGTCTCTGTTAAAATGTAGTCGAACAAATTTATTTCTTGGCGTTATTCTAAATAATAAATTCTAATATAGTATGAAAATGCGACAATAATTTCACTAACTTTTAAGAACGTCTACATGATATGTATTAAGAGTAGAAAATGCTCTTCATGAAAAAAGCGAAGAAAAAATTCGTTATACGTGCATAAAATTCATGCAAATTAATCTTTTTCCTTCATTTCATATTAGAAAATTACGCTTTTTCTTTTATCCTATTCCATAATACTTTACTCTTACATATTAAGCGGATTTTTGTATTTAAACCAACCTATATGAATTTTCATTACATAAATTTTTTATATTACTCAAAGTAATTAAAGCAACTTTGAAAATGGCTTTCCATTCCTTCTGTAAGATCTCTAGTAAATGCTATTCAAGTAGAGATGTTTTATACGATAGTATCTAGGAAGTCACATTGTTTCTGATAGCTTGAGTTATGGGTAATCCAATGTCATCCCTTAGAATCCGCTTAAACATGAAACAAAACTAGATCAAACGGCATTGGTTTTCAAGTGCTACAAATATATTCAGATACCTTGCAGTTTCTTTCGATCTATTTTTTCACGTCTGATTCTCGTCTTATAAATCTGTAATCCGTTTTAATCCCGGATTATCGATATTTTGTAGATTTTGCTTAGAGATTAGTTAATAATGTTTCTTTTTCAACGAAATATAATTCGTTACTTTCAAAACTTTCTAAATTCACATTAAAATCAAAATAATTTACATTTGTAACCCCCTTATATTGAAAATTCTACAAATTAATATTAATTAATTACAATAAAAATATGCATTTTCCTTATGTTCGCACATTCGTATAAATTCCTGAATAAATTTCTAAAAATATTCTCAAATATATTTTTAAAAGGCGCAATTCTCATGAATTAATCGGCTTTGAATATGTTACATTATAAAATAATATTGCATCATTAATATAGACGAAGATAATAAGTTTTCTCGAACTAATTTAGCATGTTTTCGTCTGTATCTGCAAGAATTATATTATAATTGCGGATATTTTAAAGGTGTCTATTAATTATAAACACCAACAGTGGTTTAAATATAACAGTTGATGTAAATTATTACGAAAGAGAATGTGTTAAATTCGACAACATAAAAAATAATAGCCTTAATCAATATAACTACACAAAGCAGAAACATGAACATAATCATTATTAATTATTTCGTTATTACCGATTTTCAGATTTTATTCTTTATTTAACATTAAAATACAATACTGTATTTAAGTACTGTACTAGTACTTAACTAATTTTACAATAAAATTCTTATTCACATTTTCATCCTATTAATAAAATTGGTCTCTACGTATAATAATAGACGTTATAGTCTTAGAAGATAATAGTAACGAAATAATTAATAATGGTAAACAGAAGGGCTAGAAGCATGCAATTTCATATGAATGCAATCAGCAATGAAAATGGAAAAATGTCAAAATTGACTATAAAATATTTATAATTAACTATTATAAAAGAAAATTGTTAATTCGTTTAAATCAAGTCTTTCATGCGATACATCTTTGAGAAAATCTTACTTTTCTATCCACAAAAATGAAAGTTTTTGCATGCATATAAAACAATATTTAATCGAATGCATTTTTACATACTTTTTAGTCGCAATTAAGTAAAAATCTTTTAATTTTGGCACAAAAAAAGTTTAATCATTTATTTTGATTAATTATTTCTGCTACAGTTAACATCGTATAGTTTGTATTACTTCAATATTTATAAAATTGGATATTTTTTTTAAAAAACTTTAGACAAACGCGTGTGTGATTTGTATGATTTTGAAATCGGTGATGCATCATTCAATATCGAAATTCGAACAAAACGATCGGAAGAAATACAAAAAAAAAGTTATTTTCGGATAATAATTATATACGATTTTCGATTTAAAAATCTATTTAAAATTGGACTAAATTATGAATAAAAATTTAAGAAAACGTGAACTTAATCTTTTATAAATTATGTGTAAAATGCGTCTAACAAATTTGTTTAAAATTTTCAATAAAATTCCATAGAATAAACAATAAAAATGCTTTTATAAACGTAATAAATATTTTATTACTCAAAAAATTAATAAAATGTATTTAAAGATTACTAAATATGTTCCATTTATAAAATTAGCATTAATTTTTCCCTTTAAACTATTTTGAAGCGTATAATCAAAGTTATAACATATAAAAATTAAATATAATAACAAGAACGTGCATGAGATAAATTCGTTAAACTCGATAATTGTCTTTTTTATAGAGCTAAATAAAATTTTCAGGATTTTATATAACGAATAATTCTCTTACCAGAAACGATTGTTATCAGATTCGAGTCAAACGATTGCAATTTTCCTTTTCCTGAACATTTCAAGCTCGTTGAAGAGATGTACAGAGGTAGAGAGAGAGAGAGAGAGAGAGAGGAGAGAGAGAGAAAGAGGGAGAGGTCCTACAGCTGAACAAGTTAGAACTTCGATTAGCGCTGGAGAGATCGAACGGTTTCAGAACAAAACAAGAAACCCAGTTCGATATAAAGATGACAAAAAATAAAAAAATGTAAGAGCTATACATTATGCTCGTTAGTAGTAACTTTAAGGGAAGTTAGCGTGATTAGTAATATAAGATTTTAAAATTTAATTGAGAACTTACTAGACAATAATCAATATACAGTTGATAAAATTCAAGAAAAAGTTATTATAAATATAGGCAGTTCTCTGCGATATACACGAGATATCGAGGATAAAGTTTTTAATGAAGACCGATAGAAGATACTACTATCTTAATTATGATTAGTTGAAAATATTGATTGTCTTAATGGTGATTATGTAAAGACATGGCAATTTTAATGATAACTAGTTGAAAATGATTGTCTTAATGCTAATTAATTGAAGAAATTTTCAAATTTAAAATAGGTAGTGATAAGGTTATTCGCTTGTACAGTACTTTGCTTACAACAACCAATTATCGTTAAGACCGTTATTTCTTCATCTCACATTCACTAAAATTCTTTATAAATAATATCATGTGTATATTTTAGAGATCTATCTGTATTAATAAAAACTTTATAATTTAATTTTGCCCTCTATTATTTTCCTAAGATTATTATGGCTATTTGAATTAAATTCTGTATAGAAGTTTATGGCATATTCTCCAATGTTAATTTCTTTTCTTAAAGAGCTAGAGAATTAGTTTCTCTTAACGATAAAATAAAAGATTTAGAAATTGCATACATCTCACTCGGTTCTGTATCGAGTTTAAAGTTGGTCAATTTTACATTCTCGTTTCTAGATATTTGGCCTTTTAGAGTTTAGTCAATAACGCCTCGATTTCTAGCCTTACGACCCCCTCCCAAAGATTCTTGACGTCAATTTCTTTCGACGGCAGATGGAAAACCCGTTGTTTCTTGCTTCAGGTGGCGGACTTTCCCACAGTTGATGACATCTCGGCTCTTTTATTTCTTCTTTCTTTCCTTCCTCGTCGACCCCTCTCGCGTCTAGCGGCTTCCTTCCCACCCTCCCGTTCGTTTCGAGTAATTACCGAAGTGCTGCGAGGCTCTGGTGCCGAGCAGTGACGGGTTGAACTGGCAGCGTTGCCTCCTCTCTCTCTTTCTCTCTCCCTCTTTCTCTCTCGAGATACGGCTCCCAGAAAATGATTGATCACTAGAGGAGAAAAAGGAGGGGAGGAATAGTTGTCATGGCAACGCTTACCTGGAGGGCCCTTAGATCGGGTGCTTCTTCTGATATCTTCAACCTGGAAAAGAAAGAAAGAAAAGATAGGAATTTGGAACGTCTGCAGTGTATGGTTGCAACTGGACCCAAATAGTTTCGACAATTGTGTACACAGGAATGATATTAACCGTTTTAAGTTTTGAAATCTAAATGAAAACGCGGATACTACTGCCTCCGGTGATCGAAAAGAGTTTTAGTTATAAAATTTGATTTCTTTTAAGTTCTTATTTTTGTATATATCTCTTTTTTCTGCACAAGAATAATGACGGGCAATTCTGAAAGTGTAGGAAATATAACATCTACAATGTTAACAAGATCGTCTACAGACGTAAATTGTAATCGATTAAACTTTTGAAGTTTTTAAACTCTTATTATTAAATATAAATTGAATGTATTTATCTTTAAAATGATTTTAGAAACGAAATTAACCTATCAGAAAATAATACTTTACTTGCAAAATCATGCAGGAAGAAGATTACAAGTACGAAATATTTATCGCAGCACCTCTTTTGATAGGATTAAATCATCCTCCTTTATCAACATCGCATTATATCAGATTAACGAAAAATTTTCTCATTTTTTCTCTGGATTAAATACTAATTGTTTGTGTTTAATTCACCAAAATTCGTCGGGGCGTTATCCAATTTTATATAATTAAACACGCGCGGATTCACCTGTATAGGACTATTGAAAGACAAATAAAAGAATATTAATCCGTTATAAAAATTAATAAGAACAGAGTTTCATAATTTTGAATTCTTGTAATAGAAATTTAACAGAATCATTGACAAAAAAACAGGCCTATGTCAAAGGAGAAAACACCATGTGGAATCTTCAATCTTCTTTCACCTCGACTGGAAAAGAAGCTTAATTAATTCGATTCTAGATATAATTTTATCTTCTAGAAAAGTAGAATATGTTATTTAGCGTATATGAAACATAGGTTCATCACATTAAGATAGAGCCGTGTTAAAAATCTGTAATTCCCCTGACTGGTTTCTTTTCTCCATCGTTTTCAAATCTTGGAATCCATTTGCTATCCATCCATCTCTTTCCTATTCTCGTCCTAATGGAATTCCTTCAGTTTGGCCGCAGGGGTCGCTCCGATCACGGTCATCATCGTCGACGACCAACTCGTCTCATCCTTTTTCTCTTTGATATTTTTTTTTTCTCTTCTGTGTACATCTGCCAATGCATCCTCCGGAGCAACAAGATAGGAGAGATGCTCCTCTCCCCACTTCCGTAAATACAATTATAATTATAAGAATCTGGAGCTCGGAGGAGGGAAAGATTCGCACGTTTTCAGACTTCAGAAAAGGTTTAATTTGGAAGAAATCTTTTAAATCCGAACGTGACTACGTTGTTTTACTATGCAGATTAATTAAATAAATAACACTATTCTTTCTGAATATTTACTCTTTCGTTAGGCTCTTCTTTCTGGCGGACAGAGTTATCTAGAAGTAAATGGGATCAAATCTATAAGAAATGTTGAATTTGTCTCTCTAGTTAAGAGATAAAGAATCAGGATATTTCAACTGACGCTTAAATACTTTTAATAAAATGAAGTGTGTAGTTATAACTTCGGTTTTGACTAGATAATTTGCAGTTTCCAGATTCGTCACACTCGCTTCAATTAAAATATTTATTAATCAGTCTTTTTATAAACGAAATTAAAAGACAGTTATGAATATGGTAATTAATATTATAATTTCAACAAAGCTGCATGTAAGGGATAGCATATTTAAAAAATATATATTAAAGATAATTTTAATAGAATCGCTATTTTTTATATTAAAAATATATGCGATATTTATAAGAATATTTTTAAATATGCGTATAAGAAAAATATTAATAAGATTTATTCGCACTTTTAAATTATCAGAAGAAGAGAAAGTCGAAACTGAATTAAATTGATTTTAACTCCCAGAACGATAAATTGTTTAAAAAATTTTGTTTGATTCTGATGAAACTGTGTTGTTGTTTTATGTTTTAAAAATACTTCAACAATTATAAAATAGAATTAATTCCATTTTCATATCTATAATTTATATATATATTTATATAAAATCAGCAGTATTAATTTTGTCCAATCTTCTCTGAAATGTTTTTCCTCTTTTATTGGGTTTCCGTTTCGATTAAAACAAATCTCTCAGGATGTGTTTGCGTTCATGGTAGAATGGTAGTTCGACTGTGCAGAAAGCTTCTGGTTATCCTATGGGAATTAGTCCTAATTGGAAGCTTCCCCTGTCCAGTTCTGTCTTCTTTCTAGTCAGCAACCGATTGCTTGTGGTGGGATCCAATCAGTGCAGCCAAGACACGAAGATGAATTGTGTGATTGTCTGCTGATCAACAACTGCAAGAAATGCTTTTTGCAGATGCCATTAACCGATATCATCATTAATTAACTAATCTAAATGTCTCTTACATCGTTTACATACGAAAGAAAAACGAACAAAAAAGAAGACTACGACGAATTTACTATTAAAACAGAACATAGAATTTAAGAAAAATAATTCGAAAACACGTCAAATGATTAAGATGAATTAGTAAGAGTAGTATTTAAGAATTTTATTTCTAAATGTTTTGTGCCAAAATTGTAAAAGATGGAGCCGAAACTTCACCGTCCAAAATGGACTTCCTGGCCACATTACCGTATTGCGAAACTAGCTGCTATGTCAAAAACGTCATTGAAGCTAAGATGATTGATTGGCGTTTGTGGACCAGTTTCTTCCAAGCATAGAAGGCATTGTTATGGATAAAAGACATTAAACTCTGGAGAGTTTGCTTCTTCAGATAACGGTTCTCTGCATTCCTCTTAACTAACAACTCTTAGATTCTTTGACGAGATAATTAATAAATTCATCTCATGGCTCGAATAATTTCATCTTAGAGTTGTTTAAAAATGAGCGAATTAAGCATTTTAACAGCTTTCCAATCAAATGTTAATTATTTAAATCTTCACGGCAAGAAAAAATATAACTTTGTGAGTTGTACAGACAAAAATGGCGTCAATCTCAAATAATCGAACGAGTCAGAAAGGTTTATAAATTCAAGGATCTCCATTCGAAAAAGTATTAAGCGCAATACCTTTTCTACAACTAAAAACGGAACTGGAAGAGAAAACTTAGGGAACCGGAAGTGAATTCAATTTCAGTGGAACCACACTACCATAGTTACCAGGCGATGGCAATCGATCATCGAGACAAATTAATCACGCCTGGCAGAAGGAAACTTGAGTTAGAAGCGAAGATTAAGAGAAGTGAGTGAGTGGCCGAGTCTGGGTGCTTTAGGTAGAGCGAGGATTGAGATATTAATGAATCATAAGAAAATTCACCAACCATTCTTCTCGACACTCAGTTATGGTTTTACCTTTATAAACTTTTCTTAAATCTTATCGAGAAGTTTTTCACTTTACCATATTACACTTTAAAGTGCTCAGTTAGAAACAATGAAGAATTTTTTCCAGGATCTTAATACTCTTAAACTATCGCTTAAAATATAATAAAAGTTCAATAAATATCAATATACTTACATTATAATTATTAATAAAGGTAAACTTAATCAATTAATTTAAAAACTTTCTAATTAAAACTTTAACTTATACTTGGCTTCGGGCCACTACTATATCTACAATATACAGTAAACTATACACGTCTGTTCTAAACAATATATAATTCTTATCTTATTTAAATATATTTTTTCTACTTTAATGTAGTAAAAACATTACGATATTTTTGAAAAATAGTTTTTAAATTCGATTTTACAAATTTTAATGCGAAAACAATATTTGAATTTCGTCCTAGTTCCATTCGAAACTATGACAATAAAAGAATAATTCGAAGTTAATAGCGTTATTCTCTTTTCGAATGGATAGTAGAAAGGAGAAGCTGTGTGTACTTACTTTGTTCATTCTTCTGGGTAATGAAGAGACGATTCCCTAACAAAGAAAAAATAGGACACATTAAACACTTTAAGTAGAATTAATATCGTATATAAATTCTAAAATTCCTAAATTTATAAGAACATTAAAAAAATGAGCAGATCTAGATATATATATGGCTTTCATCATCACAGAACACTAGAATACACTTTTATAGGTTATTTATTTAATACAAATGCGAGTCACGTGTTTAAGAATCTAACTAAAGATATATTTTAATAGTTCTTAAGTAAAATGTTACCGACTTTTACACTTCAAAATTAATTCAACAAATAAAATACCAAGTATTTTTTCTACTTGTTTTGTTGAAGAAGAAAACAAATTTCAACACAAATATTGCCAGAAACACAGTGTTATCGTTCAGTCTACGTCGACGTCTTTACCAGATACTTTTGACAAAGATAAATATCTTTAATGGTTGTTGCCGCACATTTTAGGTCGGTTTTGTAATTGCTCTTTATCGTGCAGACAACAATAATGATCCTTACAAAACTCCCTAGATTTATCGAGAGAAATTAAGAATTGACTATTTAATTTAAGCTGACATTAATCGAATCTTTCTTTTCCTTCATGGGAGATTTAAATGAGTCGTTTGAGTTTCTGACTTTATAATATTTATACGAAAGAGTAGGTTAGTTTAATAAAGTAGTCGCCAGAACAATTTATATATAATAATTGGCATTGTATTATTTTATAGCAAGGTTTTATGTTCAATAACTGGTTGGAAGACAAAGTGTGTTTAACTGACACACCGGGAGTTGCCCCTAATAAGTGGAAGGGAAGAGGGTATAATTCCAGAATGTAACTAGTGGAGCGGACGAGTCTAAGAGTAGGGAGAGAGAAAGAGAGAGAGGAAAGGGTTAGAAGATCGATTTCCTTCCAAACACAGCGAGTGAATATGGTAACCATAGGAACGGTTGTCTATTTTCCAGTAACCATAGCAACCGTTGTTTTCGCCAGGTTGCCCTAACTTACGTTCCCCAATGAGTGACATTAAGGAGACTTTCAGACTTCGTTCGAGAATAATATTGATCTAGACTATATTCTGAAAATCAGCATACGATAACCAAACTTGAAAGGCGACCACCTTTACTATTCCGTTTATATATATTTCTATTTTGAAATTTTCCGTTAAAATTTAAAATAATAACTTTTTAATAATTAATATAAAGAGAAATTAAAGAAAATATTTTTAAAACTTATTCGTAATACTATTTTTTCTTGAAACCCAAGATACCATTTAAGTGTGTTCTGGAATTAATTGTTTCTATCATTTTCAATAATGTGCCTTATTAAACATGTAAATGAAGAAACTGATACGAAACTGATATTAAAAAAGAAACAATACTCAATTTCACAATAGTGTGCTTAGTAAAACACGTAAAATCATCATAAAATCACAATTAAAAAACAGAATAGAGCATTTTATTTTCTAGAACAATTCTAGAAAAATATTTTAAAATGAAAATTACTTTTCTCAATAAGACATTTTCAAAAAGAATAATTATTACAGAAAATTTTCTCTAATCTGAATTTCTAAATTATTTTGATTATTTAAACGTAATGAATTTGCATAGAGAATAAAAATCAATTTTATTTCCAATTTATATATTATTACTAAACAAAATTACAAATTTTGTTTCTCACACTATATGAGAAATAGAACTTGTTTAATTTTACAGTAGGCCTATTGATTTTGGTGGAGAACCTCATTTACACATGAAAAAAAAACTGATCCAAACTACTTCATTGCATTTTACATCATCTGAATTTTAAAATTAAACTTAAAAAAGCTTTTTATTGTTAAAGCTTTCCACTTTGTAGAGTTTTTAACAGCTTAATTTAAATTTAATATAATTAATGCTTCAGAATCTTCAAGTAGAAGAGAAGAAAATATCTAAATTAATTTTTCGATAAATTCTGCTACGATATCATAAAATTCTCATAATATAAAATTAAAATTTAAATGCTTCTTCACTTCATTTTATTTAAAAGCGATTGAATATATTTTAACATTCGAAAATTCTTTCAACTTCTTGATATAAATTTTTAAGTTTACTATTAATGTAATAAAATATATTTTAATCGTCAAAAACATTATTTTTCGTACAGCTTAAAGAATTTTATAAAATATAAAAATACTAAATTAAAAAGCATTTAAACTCTCTTCAAAAAATTTGATTATTTTAAAGAATATTTTTTCCTTTTCTTTATAATACATTGAATATTATCAGCATGGCAAAGAATTCATAAATAAAGTTAAGAAATTTCAAAGAAACTTAGCATTTGTAAAATTAAGTACTGATCCGAAAGCAAAACTAATCAATAAATTGTGCACCTAAAGCAGGCAGTCTACCAAATTCAATTCTTGGCACGCGTTGCATACGGCATATCGGATATATTAAACAAAAAAAAAAAAAAATACATGGGCCCACGTACACATACACAAAGAAGCTTTTGCTCATCTGAAGGAGTCGTCAATAACACTTATCCAGCCACACGAACCACTTTACAAGGCAATGAATCCCATTTCAATTAGTGGTTTTGTAGTTACAACTAACCCTTCTATTCTCGCATTCTTCATTCAATTTCTGAATTTGTAGCAATAAGGTACTTGTTACAATCTAGGTAAAGTCTGTTCTCCCTCTCTCCTTCTACATATACACACATTATACATACACACACACATACATATATACACACACAATATAGTTTTTGCAACGAAGCCGCTCTTAATGAATCGATTCGCATTCCTCTCTTTCTCTCACCAGAAACGGATCAAATAATCGGAGAAAGAAACGAGCGACGAAAAAAGAAAAAAAGAGAAAATAAAAAAAGGTAGAACAAGAGCCAGAGAGTGGGTTTGCAGGAGAGTAGAGAAGAGCCGAATTGCGAGGAGCCTCTCTAATTGTTGGCGTGCCGATGTGTCGAGGGGAAAAACTCCTCTTCCCCACACTCCTACTGTACTGAATGCCCGGTCTCCGCCCTTAAGGCATGGATGCCAATCAATACGGCGACTCCGCACGTAAGCTATAACGAGCTTCCTTGTATCCGTGCTTGGGTTCATTTACTGTGGCCTTGCAAGAGTGAAAGCTTCGTCTGTACTTAGGGTTAATTGTCAGTGGCATTTCAGTTCAATTGGATGTCGGTGACACGTGCTAACTCTTTTTTTTACATTAGAATGAATGATTGATAAGGGACCCCTTAATAAAAACAGCATTTTATTTATTTAGCGACATTATCAACTCCCGGTTGGATTCTATCGGTTAGACACCCCTACGCATCGCTTCGATTTTCATTTGCTATTATCTCGTTCGAATAGGCAACGTATACTTATGCAAATACTCTAGAATTAGACCTACAACAGCTTAAATTCATACCAAAAAGTAGAAAACAGAGTAAATATATCGTAACACTATTAAGCAATGCGCTGTTAATACTATTTAACGAAAAACAAAATATATATTCAATAATTAAATATGCCACACGTACTGTACATGGTAAAAGTAAAGAGATGTGAGTGAATGTGACATAATGTATAATTTTACAATATTTATGTCTTTCAATGTGCTATATTTATTTTATTATAAAAATAAAATTTATGCTTTTGATGCTACGTAAGTTCTATATTACTATTAAAAATAGCATTTTTATTAATATATAAATAAATGAATATCATTTAAAATAATAAATTACACAACGATAAATGGATTTACAGTTTTAATTATTACATAATGCGTGTTGAACTGTCTCCTATCTTACAATAAAAATATCACTTAATAAAAGAACATTGCTTTTTATAAAAAAAATTACGTAATGCTAAAACAGCATCATATAATTTATTAATTATAAAAAATCAGGTTGAATAATTATACAGAATTCTGTCTAAAAATGAATATTTAAAAATATTGAAGTCAAAAAGTCAAGTCATTGTAAGAATATTCTGTTAATAAACTACATTAAAATCAATTTTAATATTTATCTGGAAAGTCGAAAAAAACTAAATAATCTTCTTAAAATATCCAATCAATCTTAAGAGCAATTGAATCGCCTAAATTAAATATAATTTACGAACATTTTCACTCCGACTGTTCATTAAAAAGAAGACAATAAATTATAAACTTGTAGTTTTATTAAACATCTTTATTAAACCTTACTTTTATATTTTTATTATTTTATTAATTTTTTAGACGAGTTAATTAATACTTCTCTAGACTAAATCAACCATAATATCGATCGATCGTCACGAACAGATTTATTCCACAAACCGCACAATTAGCCAATTGCATAAATTGGCAATGAAGGAGTCGAGTCAATTGATCACGCTACCAAATTTGGAAAACTACTGCGACTTAGTAGAGTAATTTGTTGACTTTATCACTTCAGAGGAAAAAAAACCTATGTTTCTAAGATTCCTACGTAACCTACGTAACATTTTTACATAATTAATACCATCAATATGAAATTTTTAAGCATCTTTCAAACCGGAAAAACCTGATTGCAAAGGAGGATAAAAAATTGATCACGCTTCTTAACTGTGCTTCAATTCCTCATTTTATCGAACCAGACAGAGAGAAACAGCGACCTTGGACTCTAAACGGGTCTCGAGAGAGGCGTTATCACATGGTCCAGGTGTAGCTGACATCGCAACCGATAGCTGGCAACGCTTAATGGACATGCAGAGTCGGCGGTGCATGCATGCTGGGATAGGGATTATCACCATTAAACTAATGCCCCTAGTTTGAAGAGTGATGCGGATGGGAGATTTCTCTCTTCCTTTCTCCATCTGTTAGCCTCAGGTTGTAAACGATGTCCGAAGAAACGAAAGACGATGTAACCTTCAAACACGCGAAGACGCTTCTATCCATCTATTAAAACTGGTATAAAATTATGAAGATTTTACGTTAAATTTTTTTTAAATTTATTTTTACTAGGGTATAGTTTTGTCTGAAACATTCAATGTGACTCGTTCGTGTTATATGAGTCCAGAAAAAAGA